ACACGATTATGTTATGTGCCTCGTGATAACGTGTTACACACATCGAACGTTAGTATATATATAAAACCTATGATAATTCTATAATCCTCCACGAAGACGTCAAGAAGTTGGATACTTTAAACGCGAAGATAAATAAAATGCGAAAAATTGAGAAAATTTATAATTGTTTATATAATCACGCAATATATTAAACAAAATTATCTCTCTCCCTAGAAGAATCAAAAAAATTTATAACAATCTATATTTATATGTCATAGTCTTTTCTAGATATTTTATTACACAAAAAAGAGACAGAGTTTTATATATTTATTAAAAGAAATTAAATATATCTATATATTTTTCTTTAATAAAATTATATTTTTAGCTGAGTTTTTTCCTCAATTAACATTTAGCACCATCATGGTTTAAAGTATCCAATGGTGTCTTACGTCGAGAATATAAACTCTTCTACGAGTAGTCGACTAATTGGTATACTCGGAGCATTGTAGCTTCGTTTTCTCCTAATTACTGAACATCTAGGATCGTCTTACGCCAATTACTGTGTGGATAGAAATAAAAAGCAGATAATTGTATAATTCTTTTTGTTTATTTATCTGCTTCTAAATTCAATTTTTACTTCATAAGAGATACTTTTTACGAGAGCAACAAAATATGTTGCTTAAGTATTCAAATTGTCATGCAAATAAATTTTATTAATTTATAACTGATAATTGATACTGATAATTAACTATTGATATTGCTCTAGAAAGGTTTGAATATTAATTTAGAATTAAAAATTGCTTCGTCGATGTATCTCTGATTCTGCTTCTTATCCCGTCCGATTGTAAATTGGTTCTTATGCATGTATATGGCGTATCGAGTATTATTTATCCACTACTACACAAGTTGTATATATACAGGTAGTATATACACAGATGAAAAGATGACGGGACGGTAGGAGAAAAATACATTTCTATCACGACACCACGGTCGCAACGATAAAGAACGCGCAGCGATCGCCGAAACTAAGTAATAAGAATATCATGGATACTAATCCACGATCTCTATATCTTTTTTACACAAAAATACAAATTAAAATGTGTGACTGCGAAGGGACTGAAGGAGCAGGATTATAAAGAAAATTAAAAATGGTAAAAAAATGCTGATATAACTGAAAGCTCTCTAGCATTTTTATTCTCAAATAATAAAAGTTAAAATATAATGAAATAATAATAATAATAATTAATAATAATTATATTAATGAATGTAACTAATACGAATCATCAGTAAAACGCCTATTCACCTGCGCGTTATCGCATATCGAACGCATTATAACATATCGAGCGAGTGATCGATCGACAATGATGCCGTAGCGAGGAGAGGGGAATTGGGCGTCCGTATCTCTCTACATTATTATCCTGTTAATTATCTACAAGCTCCTGACAAACAAAAGTAGAAAAACTTCTTCCCCTCCCTCTCTTCGTTCAACTGTCTTCTCTTCCCGATTGCCTTCTTGTCGTCTTTTCACTCATCGTCGTCCGCGCATCTACCAACAAATGTACGGTTTTAGGAACTCTTTTTATTCGCCTTTCTCTCCTCTTGTCTTATTGTAGTTCGTCTCTCTGTTCGCGCGCGTGTTTTTGTCGACGTTTTCGCTACAGCTTGGTCCACGACTCTGGGAGTTTAGGGAATTTAGAAATGAGATGAGAGATGAAATGAATCGAAAGGGGATTGTAGTGCTCCTACATGATCTAACAGTTTGCACAAATTCTCTTTGCGAAAAAATTATCCAAACGCGTTAACCATCTGGATTCGTTAAAATAACAAGTTAAAAGGAAAATATATAATTAATGCTCACGCACATATGAAAATATTATTGTTACATTAGGAGCTATTTTGCAGCGCAACAATATACTGGCACAGTGACGTGCAAATTGTTGGATCAACAGTTATTCGCGCGCGCTTCCCTCATTCTGGAATTACGTACAGATATGCAGAAAGTAAAACATTGTTCGCAGATACGTAAAAAGTCAATTTACACGACAAGCGACATTAACAACAGTAGCATGTATCGCGTGATTACATAGTAATCTCAATCAACACAGATGATGATGATGATGATGACATGACAATGAGAATAATACATGCTGTCATTTCTTAACAATCCGACGCAACGGATTTCCTATCTTATCCTACTATATATGTACAACGTCCGTTTATACATTTATGTATATATGTATATGCATACGCCGATGCATGCACAAGTTTATGTATGGTAATACAGCTGATATACTAATGTGACATTATAATCGTTATATGTATACATTTACGCAAATTCTGCACGTTGATAATGAAATCTATGTACACACGCGTGGATTTTAGGAATAAGTATATGATCAATATTATCACGTTCGTTTCCTGTGTGATCTATAATCTAAAATCATAGCCCTTAATTAATCACCGAGAATCCACTGGAAACTGCATCGATCTTAACGAGCGCGAAAATCGACAGTTCTATCTAGCTTACAGAAGAAACATTTTTATACATCAAAAAATATATTAAAATACATTAAAATACATTAAAAAACATATTTTAAAATACATTACATATCTTATCGTATTTTTATAAAAAAAGGGGTTTCCTTTCTTTCTGTCGTTTTCTCTTTCTGAGCATAAAATATCGGAAAGACCCGAATCTTCTCTCTCTACTGCGCCAATCTCGATTCACGGATGTACATATGTCATATAATTCGCATATGTATAATGTAAGTAATTGTATATACATTACGTATTACTTAGGTACCGTGTTATCTACAATATTAAATATTACTAACTATCGCTCGCATGAAATATGTATTTCTTATCAACATACAAATATTCCCACGCGCGTCACGTCGCCCCCGAATTTTTTACGAAATTCTCCCGTTCTCGCGAATGTACACATTTATAGATCACACATTATAATACTTATTGTACAGGCAATATACTTTGGCATGAATTATAACGTTTCGCGTATATCGATTATGATTCGATCTTGGAGCTCGGCACCGCGCGTGGACATCGTGATTCTCGATACATCACTCGGTAGTCTTGAATTCACGTAGTATATACAGCCCTGTGACACAGATATGTACGATACGATGACAGACACGCCTACGTGTATATATATACAACTGTATTGTCGGACCTCGCCGCATTTTGCCATTGAGATGCACCGTAACCCTGCTTGCCAACGATGTGTCGTCGAATAAAATCATTTTTAAGACTATTTGATATAGAAAAAGAAAATGACTAATGTGATTTGCATCATCCAGCGTGGTAGAAGAGATAGTTGTAGGGATGGGATCAAGTTTAATACATATTTATGAATCTTACAATCAATTCAATTTAGTATCACCAGATATCACTTCATTGGAATCGATCATGGCTTATAAAAATCATAAATGTATGCATTTAACAGTATTGTAAAAACTTCATACATTTAAGTATGAGACAAATGTATGTAGCAAATTATAATAGTATCAAAATGTAATCGAAAGTTTGTAAAAAACGTTTATAAATATTCGAATTTTTTATGGATACTTTAAAACACATCTAAGTAGATTTAAAATTTTAAAGAATAAATTATAGTGAATGTGTGAATTATTTAATCATCCTGTATATATGTATACACATCATAGAATTTCGATTCCACTCAGATGCTATAATTTTTTAGTATTTTAGTTTGTATAAAAGATTCGAATTTAAGAAAATTTCGATTACATTATGATATATTTTGCAATACTTGTACTAGATTCGATTGCAGCACATATTCGATTACATTTTGATGCTATTATATTTCCATATTCTTATAATAGATTCAAATATGCTGCAAATGTTATCAGTATTACTTAATCCCATCACTATATAGCTGAAATATATTTTATAAAAATTATATAAATTCATGTGTATGAAATGATATTCATGTAGCACATAATTTGACATAATTTTACGAACACCGTTGCAATTAGAAGATAAAAATGTAAAAGTTATTAAATCTCTTTTATTATTGCTACTTCACGATACTATTAACATCAGAACGTTTCATTCACAGAAGCTCGAATGCAATTTCCGTTCATCATATACCATTAAATAACTTCAAATAATAGAATTACAACTATTCTGTTTGAGAATATCTGTCAAAGAAATAATAATCAATCTCTTATAATTGCCTGAAAAAGTCTTTTGGCAAATTTATGTGCGCAATTGGATCCACTGCGCATTGATGCATCTTAAAATCGGTTGTACACTACTTGTATAAAGAAATAATATAAGCATCTTTCCAATTGAATGCTTAACATATAATGTATTAATAAGATATGCTAAGCATCTAGCGGGAAATCGGCCACTTATATATCATACTTATGTCTTCTCTGTAATTTTTTTACGACAACCTTTAATATGCGTCAGTGTGCACTAATACACCCGAAAGAATTTGCTGCACATTTACACTAAAACCTTATCAATTATCGTGCTTCATTCAAAACGCAGCGTGTCTTCGTATACTTTTCATTAGATACTTATAACAATTCCAAATTATTTAATGACCAACATTGATTTATGCATTCTCTCACCTATATTATCTCGCTTAACTCTCATTTTCGCACACTTACATTTTCACTAACATTCTCGCTTAGACATTCAGTCGCTTCTTATTTAGCTTTCTGTAAAACTTATTACTATTTTGAATTCTTTTTATGGTTTCTTCGTGGACTCTTTATTTCTCGTGTTACTATCGAATTTTAACAGACATCACCAAGATCGCGATTATTGATGATTCTCTCATCAATAACTGTGACCTTGTCGATTTGGAGTACAATCAAACTTTCATATTCTTTGCTCATCAAAATCGAGTTAATTTGTTTATTCTTGATTTCTCTTTCAGTCCATTGAAATATGAATCATTCCATTCCAGTTCAGTCCATAAAATCTGAAGAAAAATAATCAAGAATAAATAAATATTTTTTTTACTCGAATAAAAGAATAAGAAAGTCTAACTGTAGTTTAAATTTCAATTTAAATTATTCAATCTTTCGAAAGTATTATTTCTCTTATTAGTTTAAAAAAATCAGATTATCGGCTAATGATAGAATTCCGGTAGATTGCACAAGCGTCGTTGTTGTTGCTGATGGTGATGATGCTGCTGCTGCTGCTGCGGGTGTTGTTGATGATGATGCTGATGATATAGAGCGTCCCCTTGATGGGTCGCTTGCTGGTGTCACTCATGAGACTTGCTGTTTAGCGGATGGTAATTACCGCCTGCCGAAGCAACCAAAGCCAAAGGCAAGGATGTCGGGTGAGGATGCGAATGGCCCATGCCGGAAGAGTGCGTCGTAAGAGCCAAAGGACTGCCGGACATGGAACTGGCAATAGAGGCGAACACCGAGGGCGCAGGCGATGTCATCGTTGGGCTGCCCATCGCTGCCGTTGGCGGGTTGATCCTCTTTTCTTTTTGCCTTCTGAAACATAAATTATACGTAAATTGCTTCTATGAAGAAAATAAAAACCAATAATACGAAATTAACAAGGAATCTATAAAATCTAATTAGCATAAATTTGAAAAAGAGAAAAAGAAAATAGAAATTATACCATAACTATGTCTTAACAATTTCAGTATTTACCTGTTACAAAACCACACGCGAACAACTTCTTTCTCCATCGCGAGGCTATCCGCTAGTATAGTTATCTCCTCAGAGGTGGGCTTCGGGTTTTGGATAAAGGCCTTTTCTAGAGCCACTCTCACGCTAGTCTCTATCGACGTCCTTTTCTTCCGCCGTCTGCCGATCGCTTCCGGTGTCGTAAGTGGATTCGATAGGGAATTGGGATTGTTCAAGGAATTATCGGCATCCTCCAGCCATTTTTGTAGTAGTGGTTTCAATTTGCACATATTTTTGAAAGAAAGATTTAACGCTTCGAACCTGAAATGCAGAAGCGTCGATTTTATCTGATTTAAAATACAATAACATTATTCAATTAAATTAAAATTAATGCAATTTATTTTTCTTTCTACTTTTTTTTAAATTGTTTATTATATACAAATTATATACATATATGAAATTCAAACAGTGTACATAAATAGTTGTCTCATTTGAAAAAACTCAGAAATATTCAGATGTTTTTACAACGTTTGCGTTATCTAAAAGAACTTCTCATTTATTTCATTGTAGTTTGAATTGAGGATATGTATCTACCTGGAGATGGTAGTTTGCGAAAAGTCGTTGCCGTAGAGTTTGCCCATTGCGAGTCCCACGTCTCCTTGGGTGAAACCAAGCTTGATCCGCCTCTGTTTGAACGTTTTAGCGAACTGTTCTAGTTCCTCGAGATCCGTTGTCTCCTCCGGAGAGGGTTCTAACTTTACCGGTTTTACTGCTGGCGGGGTGCTCGGCGGTGGTGGTGATCTTTGCGCCAAACTTCGTCCGACTAAACTGCCACTGTTTTGAAGAGCCTGCTGTTTCTGCAGAGCCTGTAACTGCTGGGCTGCCTGAGCTACCGCTTGCTGCACCTGATAATATTTTAATCCTTTTCTTAGAATTATAAATTAAAACGTGTTCAAACGGACGGACATTCAAGTTAATTATATAAAATAACTAGAATCGTTCGCGATTATAGAGAATTTATATAAACAAGCGAATTGGAGTTATATCGAGACTCTTTTGAACTTTTTAAATTTTCTTATCATTTTTAGAGAAATTTTTTATTCAAGTATAGTGAACAATCTGCGTGTTTTCATTCGCGAAATCACAGAGTCAATAATGTCCGGACACGATTCTGCCTTAAACCGTACCTGCATGGACTGTGAGCGCGGATGACTCGGTCTTGTTGGATAGCCACCGCTCTGCAACAGCCCCTGTGTGCAAGACATCGACGACCATTGGTGAAAATCAACATAATGGTCATCTAGTATCTACCTGGAGATGGTAGTTTGCGAAAAGTCGTTGCCGTAGAGTTTGCCCATTGCGAGTCCCACGTCTCCTTGGGTGAAACCAAGCTTGATCCGCCTCTGTTTGAACGTTTTAGCGAACTGTTCTAGTTCCTCGAGATCCGTTGTCTCCTCCGGAGAGGGTTCTAACTTTACCGGTTTTACTGCTGGCGGGGTGCTCGGCGGTGGTGGTGATCTTTGCGCCAAACTTCGTCCGACTAAACTGCCACTGTTTTGAAGAGCCTGCTGTTTCTGCAGAGCCTGTAACTGCTGGGCTGCCTGAGCTACCGCTTGCTGCACCTGATAATATTTTAATCCTTTTCTTAGAATTATAAATTAAAACGTGTTCAAACGGACGGACATTCAAGTTAATTATATAAAATAACTAGAATCGTTCGCGATTATAGAGAATTTATATAAACAAGCGAATTGGAGTTATATCGAGACTCTTTTGAACTTTTTAAATTTTCTTATCATTTTTAGAGAAATTTTTTATTCAAGTATAGTAAACAATCTGCGTGTTTTCATTCACGAAATCACAGAGTCAATAATGCCCGGACGCGATTCTGCCTTAAACCGTACCTGCATGGACTGTGAGCGCGGATGACTCGGTCTTGTTGGATAGCCACCGCTCTGCAACAGCCCCTGTGTGCAAGACATCGATGACCATTGGTGAAAATCAACATAATGGTCATCTATGTTCCATTTTTACTCGTAATGAGAATTTTTGGTTCTTTTACGAGTCTCGCGATTCAAAGTCACAATTAGGTGCTTAAATTCAATTTTGCGCCCGTCAGCCTCGAATGAAGATAAATGTCTTAGTGTTTTCATGTTGAACCGCGCGGCACGTGTCGGACTCGTGTGCACAGGTACGAAAAAAAATATATATGATTCCAAGGGTCGAATCTGTCCGATCGATTATCTTCACCCTTTCCTTAGGGACATGATACTCGATTATGAGAATGAGGGGCTCGCGTCGCGGGTACGAATCGGAAAGGGTTCGGGATTGGTCGCGTGTCGCCGGCATACGAGTAGCTAGTTTATGCGCGCATTGTGGCCGCGAAGACACCCTACGGAAACGCCTCGAGTTAAGCCACGTGCGGGATCAACCGCGACAGGTTACCGTCTAAAATCCCAAGGCATTCGTCTACTTTTAAGCAAGACTAATCTTATAAATCGGTATCTTAAATTTAATTACAGAAATATTATAAATAACGTGACTATTTTTGTAGTATAAAAATAATGATTGATAAAAAGAGCTAGTGTGTACATGAGTTTTTATAAAATTTAATTAAAAAGAGCGAGTCAATAAAAGCAATACATACAAAATATATAATATATTTCTGTTTCTCGATTTTAATTTATCTCCGAGGTTCCGTTAAATATTATGGTGATATTTATTATGTTAGGTATAACAATTTTCAAAATTATTCCATTTGAAAAAAAGTAAATTGATTTACGTTAAACGATACTATAAAATCCTCTCTGTTAGGCATGACGATCAAAGCCAAAGGACCCGCAAAAGGTGATCTCCGAATGAAGAAATTAAATGTCTGTTGCGGAAAATAAGCCACAAAGGCCCTCACGTGGCGCGCACACGTAACCGCCCGCGAAGGGGTTGGAAGAGGCAGGTTGTACTCGGCAAAACCGTTCCCCGAGTGAAGAAGGTCGTGTGCCCTTCTTAATGCTACGCGTGAATAAAAAAAAAGAGGAACACGCGGAGAGAGAATCCTCCCATAGCTTAGGAGGAGAAGAAGCGGGACGAGAAAAAGGAAACATCCTGGCCACGTGTGAGGTAACAAAAGGCACCCCGTGGCAAGGTGCCGAAGGGCCCTGGGCCCACCTTGTGGCACCGTGCGGTATCTTCCAAAGGAGAGAGAGGGGAAGAGAAAGAGACGGGAAAGATCTAGGGGCCCAGCGGGCCCTACGCGCAAATATGCGTGTACATGTGCGTGCACAATAAATGTATAATACATGGAGAACGCGGCTGCCCATTAAGTGTGCTAAAGCTCAAAGTCGTTTTGTTGATTTTTCCCGGAGACTATATAGTTGCACGCGCACGTCGTGACGGATTTTCTATAGGCATTTTTTTTTTTCGTAAATGCAGAGCCTGGTCCATTCAAATCGTTCGCGAGAAGGGCCGCACGGATAAAGAGGGAATAGGGGGGGGGGGGA